ACACAAAGCCTTTTTTCTTCTTCTAGTTTTTGGAGAGGAAAAAGAAGTGTCATATATAAGAGTATTATCCCACAACAATTTGAGTGTTGTTAGTATTGTTGTATTTAGCCTACAGCTCCCTCTTTTGGTAAAGCCTGAAACAAGTCTTATAGAATCACAATAGAGCATGGCTTGGTTTCAGACTGCTCTGGCTTGGTGGCAACAGGATACATAACGTCAGTGCCCTGGGGTTGTGGATCTCCTGTGGACAACACTTCCTAGTCTAGCATTAAACCCCAGTTCTAAATTTGGGCCATGACTTGATTTTTCAATTGCAGATTTAGCCAGTTTTTCTTCCTAACCCCTGTTTCATGTTCTGAATAGATTCATCAGAAGCATCAGCCATCTGGCTCGTAACCTCCAATCACCAGCTAGAGGCTTCTGGGGTGCACACTCACATATATTTTCTTCCTTCTCAGCAGTTTGTGTGTCACTCAGGCGGAAGCCAATTTGCACTCTCCCTCTCTCTCTCTCTGCCTTGTTTATCTCCTCCTTCTCGCTCTTCCCTGCCATATGCCGCCATTTGCTGCAAATGTTCTCTGCATGTGGAAACGGACTGACTTTATCCATGAATAGGCTTTTTTCCCCCCCTTTTTTCTAGCTAGACCTGTTTAAAGCAGAGGAGCACATACAATTTGTCCAGGGCTAAAATGTGGATAAACACAAGGCATCTGCTTTCTGCATTGGTTCCAAGCTAGGTTTTTATTTTGTGTATTAACTGAAAACTGAATAATTCTGCATTGTCCCTTAGAGGGGAACAGTCTGAGCCTGTGGACGTCTTCATTGAGCATCTGGTCCGGCTTTTAAAGCTTTGCCCTTTTGCTTGCCTGATGGATTTCCCTGTGTGTTTAACATCTGTCTCCAGCGTTGTTTACTGCAAGCCAGTTTCCCTCTGAATTGACTAAACTCTAAAAATTTCCCAAAGGAGAAGTAAAACTTTCAAATTAGCTAATTGCTTTTTAAAGAGCTGTCGGTTTATGATGATATCAACCCATCTGTTTGTCTGACAGGTATCCCCTATAGTGAACACAGCAGCTTTCTTGAGTTGAAGCGGTTTGTGCAGTGGCTCCAGCCCCTCAAGATCATCCCTACAGTTAACAATGGCAGCTGGGCCAGCAGGAAGGCGATGGAGAAGTGTTTCAGTGAGTGGCTCATGGACGTTAAGAATAAACAGTGACTTATTTTCCAGCTGCCTGTCGGTGCTAAAGGAACACCCTAATAGTATGCGATACTTGAAGTGTTGTATGGACTGGTTTATTTTAACGCTATTTGTTTCATTAACTTTACATTTAAATTTAGAGGAAGCGGTTGTGATTTTTAGACCTGAATTAGAAAAACTCTGGAAGCTGTGTTATATGACCCTGACATGATTCATGTATTAAACTTACAGTTGGACCAGGGTCATCCAGACTCTTTTACCATCTCATTCATTTGATATGCTGCAGGTGCTGCTCTGAAACTGTGCAATTTTTTTTTTTATTGTGATTTATTTTGTACATGATCAAAGTTTTATGCTGAAGAAATAAATATTTTAAAATAACATTGCTACCGTTTTTTTATTTCTTTGCAACAATACCACTTTAGAAACTTTTCTCTCTAATTGCTCTATATTTAATAATACTTGATATTTCTATTGCCTTCTTTAAACAATCAGTTTTATTCCCCAACCTACGTAAAAGCACCTAGAAGAGCCCATCAAAGCTTTTAGGTTTATAAGACATATTATGACTCTAAGTATTATATTGATAATAGTTGTTTTGGCTAATTTGCTAACTTTACATGGTCAGTTTGGAAGGTTGCAGTCAACATGTGGATATTCACTGCTTAATCTTATGTTGTGATTCATACTGATGAACCTCTGCAGCCACTTACAGTGTGTTAGGAGGGAATGCCAGGTGAGTGTAAGCCCTTTTTTTTTTTTTTTTTTAAGATGTCTTCGGTCTTGTCTTTCAGGAGTTTATCTCTGGGTCAGCAGACATACAGTACAGAGATGGTTTTTGATTTCGTTCGTCCTTAAGTTAAACCATCTGTCTTATCATGTGTTAAGGTGTTTCAGGGTGCATGTGTATTTTGAGCATCAGATACCAGAGTAGGAGGAGAGAAAAGGAAAAAAACAAAAGCTGAACACTTCAGAAATGTGTCCTGTAGATTCCACCATGTGAGAAACACCGTGTAGCACAGTGCAGGGTGCAAGTTATCTATACAATTTTAACCTCCTAGGATCTGGCGTCCACACATGTGGACATCACATTTTGGGTTGTCTAGACCAAAATACAAAATTTTTCTCTACAAGGGCCTGATATCCACTTACAAGGACATTATACTGCCACTGTTCCATCAAAATTTATAACTAATATCCTCATACGTGGCTCTCATTTTTGTTAGGAACAGAAATCAGGTAAAAAAAAACAACAAATCTGCTGATTCTTTGTTTTTACATTCATTGGGTCCCAATATGCCCAAATATCAAAGAGAAATTAAAAAATGCATGCTGTGGAAGAGTTCGGGTTTTAGGAGGTTAATCTAGGAATTTGGTTTCCACATCACCACTTTGCATAAAAGCACTCAGAAGAGCTGCTTGGAATATTAATTCACAGCTTTTAAATTTAACCACTTATGTTAGTTTTTGGCAAAAAAAAATAGATGGATGTCTATATATATATATATATATATATATAGACAGACATTAGGCATTTCATTCCCTGTCCCTCTTTCCTCTCATTTTATTTTATGTGTTATGCTGTGGAAATATCAAATCATACAGTTACATGGCAGTAACACCATTCATTTAGACCGTGTAGACATGGTGGAGATGACCTGCTGAAGTTCAAACTGAGAAGAAAGGTGATTTAAGTAACATTCAAACCTCGAGGCAGATGGGCTACAGCAGCAGAAGACCTCACCACCGACATCTCCTGTTAGTTAACAGGAAACTGAAGAAACAGTTTAACCATGCTCACCAAAACTGGACAACCAGACATTAGAAAAATATTACCTGGTCTGATGAGTCTCAATTTCTGCTGCCACATTCAAACAGTATTTTTGCGTAAAAAAATGAAAGAATGAATCGATTCTGAACAAACTGGTTTGCAGCAGTTCAAGGGAACAGGCCTTGCAGATAAAGTCCATTTAATGCTGGACCTTCACCTGGAACGGCGCTGGTTATTTGGCACAATACAAAAAAGATTACAACCAAGTACAAAGTAAAGTGTGCAAGTGTCCTCAGTTATTTGAGTCACTACTACATGTCTCAAAACAGCACAAATAGGTGAAGCAACACGATTCTGTCTACATATTAATGTTCCCCGAGGTGCTGAGGACATCAGCTAATGGTCTCTTCATTGTTCATCTCCTACTTGCTTTGACTTACTATCAAGGAATCCTTGCGTTAAAAAAAAAAAGCCAAACAGAAAAAATTAATGTATGCCAGCATTTTATTAGTGCACTCATGTAATCACTGCATACATACAAAGAATCTCTGTGTCATGGTCTGGGTGTGTGGCTGTAAAGTTCTGCTGAAGGTCTGGACCTCCCTGGTATCCACCCATGGGCAGGGCCTACAGCCTCCCTCACCTGGAGCTGATTGAGGCAATTAGGTTGGAGATTTAAGCTGCTTGCTGACACTGCTTCCTTGCCAGTTCCTCAACAACCCTATGTTGGTAACCAGGCCTCATGCTTCATGTCTATGATCCTCAAGTGCTTTACTAACCTTGCAATCTTGTGTTCTAGTTGCTCCTGGGAATTCCATCACACTGAATAACTTATCCTTAAATCTGATTAACCCACCTGCTTTCAGAATCATCTCCTTGCCTCACCTGCCTGCCCTCCTGCCATTACACTACCACAGGACCTTCACCGCTCAGGACAGCTGACACACACCACCAAACCCACCTGGACTACACCACCTCTCCTTCAATGTTTCCATCTCCCACCTGCACAGTTTCCATAGCTTCCACCCTCTCCAGAACTCCTCATTGGCTACTGCTTTAACACTGCTCTCCTCTCTTCCAGTGCGTACCTAATCACCAGCCAGCTGCTGTTGCTTTCTTGGACCTGTCCCCTTACTTTATCCCTCTCTCCTAGCCAAGACCCCCACGCCCCATGTGTCAAGCCTTAAGTCAAGGGCCATTGTAAACATCATCCTTGTGCTAGCTAATAAAACTTTGTTAAACCCTTTCCTCCGCCTCCACTTTGGGTTCTCTGCACGTGGGTTTGATTTTTGGTACTCTGCTCTCAATCACCAGACTTCAGTGGTTACAAGGTAAACCAGAGATTTATCAGCATGGTGATAGCATTCACATTAGATATCTGGCTTTCCTAAGCCACAGGAATATAAAAAAATGGGATTTTAATACTTTAAATGCACACGTGTATATTTTCAAAATATATAACTTTGTCAAAAAGAATTCAGCCGTAACTTTTTAGGTTAAATCTGTTAGCTGGTGCTTCTGGTGATCTTACAATCGAAAACACACAATTGGGTAGGTGATGTTAGGAAAAAGTACTTGACATCGTACTTGAAGACATTCGAATAGGCTCAATATTTACTTTCATCGACATATTTACACCATTTCTTCACAACATGTCATGTACAATTTAATATCTTGCAGACACTGACATCAGCCTGGGAAAAGGCACCGTTAATGCAGCACAAGGAACTATTTTTCTGCCTAATGTCTGCCTTTTGTTTCCTTCTTTGGTAACTTTTGACAGTTTCCTCTTATCTGCAGTTAATTAAACAAGCACTGAAACATACACTGAGTACTTGTCCAAAAGAAGATCACATCTATCTGGTCACAAATATGGTTTATGCAAGGTGCAAAATCATTTTCATCCTTCATTTGTTGAGTAAACTGGTGACAGATTTAAAAACAAAACAAAAAAAGCAAGGGAAGGGAAAATACTGTCAGCTATCATAAGTGGTCAGCACAGGTCATATAAACACATGCTGGCTTGAAGAAGGAAATTTCTCATTTCTAATTAGCATTTTGCCAATCAGTGCAGGTGAAGTTTGGCAGGTGCAGCTGCTGGTTTCTAGGTTGACGCAGGAGGGTCACTTTCACCTGAAAGTAGATTTGCTTTTCAGATAGACTGAATGCATGCATGAATTAACACATCTATATCATGGACTCTTATAATCTGTTAGTGCGTTGTCATTTGGTTGATTGCAAGTTATGAGCATACCTCATTCTTGAGTGACTTGCTGATAAACGTGGTGAACTCCTCCACAGTGCTGACCTGCAGGTCATTAACTGCCAGAATCTGGTCGCCTTTGTGGAACAGACACACGGTCTGTGGCTGTCCCGTCCACCCAGACACACTGACACACATACACAAAGAGAGGTTTGAGTTTTCCAAGCACTCTGTAGCTTCTGGCTCTTCTATTTAGCATACCGCAGAAAAGGGTTTTCACAGGACTGTATACAGTCCTTTAAAAATTTAAGTGCATGCTTACTGCTTCCATGGGCATTTCATTTCATTTCATTAGAGGCCAGGTGCTTATAGTCGTATGCACTTGATCATCAGCAAGTCTGAGCATGTTATGAAAGCAGCTTTGGCAGTTTTCATGAGCATTTGTGTGTTAACGCAATGCCTCAGTCTTCTAAAGAGTGGAGGTCCAAGCAAATTCACTCCAAGAAATGACAAAAAACACAAGATCTACATCTGAGATTCTACAGGTCTCAGTTAGCATGTTAGATGTTGGATGAACAGATGAGACCGCTATTCAGTGGCACGCAAAATATCAGCACAAACATATCAGAGAAAAGCAATTAAACTGACACAAGAAATAGCCTAATAAATTCAAACATGCCACGAATAAACAATATTAAGCCTCGTCAGCTGTAAAAGCGCAAGTAAGGACAAACAGTCCAACTGTGGCCAGCTTTGCCAGTGATACACAGGATTAAATGAATCCTGATCAACAGACCTGAGTAAATATGACACAAATGTCTGAGATTTTTGTGTTTCCATAAATATTAACAAGTTGGAAAGCATTTAGTCAAACATTTGACACTACATCTTCCAATTAGACCAGGCTTCTCAGTTATCTGACTCAAAGCAGTCCTATGTGAATACATTTTCAGTTTGAGGATTGTTGGATTTCATCCTGATTTTCGATAAACCCACCTGGGCTTCCTATCCACCTCTGTTAGGGTCAGGTAGTTTTTAAGGTCTGCCTGTTTCACCATAATATCCCGCTCTTCTGTTCTGTGGTCAGAGCTTGAAAGAAAGACAAAAGACAACAACATCCATTGTTCTATCAAATCTTTAAAGGTATGACCCAAATCAGTTCAAACTGGGTGATCTTTCATGCTTTAATATCACGTTTATAACTTGATTGTCCATTTACTTCAGTTAGTGTGCACTGCCTTCTGAAATACATGTCTTTCACATCAATCTCTCTGTCAATACTTGAAAGAAAATTAAAAGACAACAAAAGCTTTATTAGGGAGTGTTATATCTTGTACCCGTAAGAGAAGTACATCTAAAGCTAAAGCTAAATCTAACCATCCAGCTACCTTTCCTCACAACTTGAATTTATATTATTGTACTCATTAATTGTACTAATTTTCCCCAAAAAAACATTATGAAAAATACACAGTTTTAATCAAATTAGTTAACAATAAGTGAAATGAGGGGAAGATCGCAACCAGTGAACAACAAAAGCAAAGGGGAAGCACACAGACTAAATATAGGCCAGGAAGAGAAGGGTAATAAGTAAGACAAAGGCATTAAAAGGTCCCATATTAGAAAAAAAGCATTCAGCATAGACCATGATGTCACTGAAATGGAGACATGGGACATGCATAGACATGAAGACACAAAAGAAAACGATAACAGGCAGGACTCTTACACATAACCTATTAAAATTCTTGGCTAAAACTTCAATGACTTGTTATTGTTTTGTTTTGAAAGGCTGCTTATCACCAGCTGTCATCGCCTTCTTGTAGAAATCTCCAGAAACCACGCCAACCAGTCTAACATGTCAGCATTCAATTCTGGTTAAGTCAGACTGCGGTGACAACTTTTTTATTTTTATATGACAGACATTGCTATAGTTGGGTTTTAAAATGCTACTATGTCCATGTGTCATGTAAAGCAACTTATCCCTAATACAGGTTAACACCTACTGGCACATTGTGTTTGCTTATTATGAAACTGAATTAAAAAAAAACAACAACTTCCTGTCTAATCTCACCTCTCATTGGAGTCATTTTTTTCAGATGAATCCAATAGTTCAACAGGGGACATGGCACCACGGTCACTAGAGCTGCTGCTTAAATCTGTAGACCAGCGTTTACTGTATAGCATAAGGAAATAAAACACCAGATATTAGTAAATGTGTAGTCTGGCTGCATACACTTTGCATGCATACAACAACAGTCATTGGCACTGTATTGCAAGTCTGGAATGGACAGACATCCACATTTACCCCCATGATAGTGTCTTTTGCAGTTACTCAAAAAAGAGGACCAAATGTGTCATAAATGCAGCATGGACGAGGCAAAACATTCAAAAAGGCGAAATGTAGAAGCAGTGGAGGAGTGGAGTTTTTATACCACACTGTAGAGACAGGGAGTACAGAAGCAATCATTCAGTGTTGCAGCACACCAGTTAGCCACATTGGTGTGAAATGGAATAATTACTACACAGGTCAGTATCACAGACATTTTAGTAAGGCAAACAGCAGCAGGAGATAATGGCTAAAAACTGGAATAGGCAAGAAACACCAGTCTGTTGCGCTGGTGATCAGCGTGGGGAGATCAAACTGACTGGTTTAAACTTGCTCTGCAGAGGAAAAACAAAATCTAAGACTCCACCTCAGACTGACGCACTTAAAATTTTTAGTTCCTTCTAGCCTCGCTGCACAAAGAACATCATTGTTAAACAGAAAGGCATGAATGCACGAAAGAAACAGTTTGTCGTCAGTGCTTTAAATATAGGATGATGATGAAACCTTGTATTGTTTGATGGGATTCCTTTTTATTTATTAAGAAAGACATCATGACGAGTGAGTAATTTGCAGTATAGGAACCCAATCCTCTGCAAAAAGCATAAAATATTTGTACAGGACAAAATTCAGTTTAATTGAATTCTGTCTGTAGAGTGCAAAATAATAATAAGAGTCACCTCAAGGCGCTTTATACTGTAAGGTAAAGACTGTAAAATAATACAAAGACTCGCCTATAAGGAAGCACTGGGCGACAGTGGGAAGAAAAAACTCCTTTTTAACAGAAAAAATCTGTTGCGATCGGCTGTGGGTGAGGGCAGGAAGACAGAACAAAAGAGACACTTTACCAGGCAAGCTACCCGAGTTGACCTTTTCACAATGTTTTTATTGTACGCAAGCCAAGAGGCTTTTACATAAGAAGCAAAAGGACTTAAAAAAAATTAATTTGTGTAAATAATCTGTAACAGACATCAACAGTAGATAATGCACACAAGTAAGTGTAGTTTAAAAGCGCCTTTGGATTCACGTACAGATAACACAGATTATGTTAAACGGTTTCACCCAATCTGAGAGATATATAATTGATATGTTTAGCTTATATATCGGCCTTTTTCAGTTGTGCCATAACACACATTCACAGCCTAACTGTAAATGAATCAGTAAAGATGTTCAGTCCAAGTGTAGAGGCAGAGTGCGAGTTGAGACACAACTTCTTTCCCAAGATAAGAAGATATGTTTCATGTTGTCAAGCACATTTGTTGCTAAACTGGCTCTGAAACGCTGCCTTTTATAAATTCTTACCTCTTCCTGGAGTGTAAACAGTTCCGTGCGCTAAAAATAAGTCTGGTTGTTGTCAAGGTGTTTGTGCCCGTGGCACCACAGTTACCTGTGATTATTATTTTTGTAGGGTGCTCACAACACATGTCACGAAGGGCTCCAGGGCACTGATATAGAAGACTGAAGTAAACAAGCCAAACAGAGATAGGACCACTAACTGCGTGAGAGCTACCTGTTGTTGTCATCATCTGGCTCCTCAGCAAACGGTGGCAGCGGGGTCTTCATTTTGTCAAAGGTCTGAATGACGGTCCTCATCAGCGTGCTTTTGTTAGCGTCCTCAACTTCATGGTCCCTAGAGGCATTTGGTACGGTTACCTTTTCAGCAACCATAAGCAGTTAGCTATCATTATTATTGTCATTATCTTAAAAAATTCTGTATGCTTACTCTGGCTGAGCTGATTCTTCAATATATTTGAAGCCACTCATTGTTTCATATCTAAATGAGAACAAACATTATGACATGTTTTAAAGAAGTCTGTATGACAATAGAAACATTAATTAATACTTACAATGCTTCCACACTGTTGCGTCGTTCCCCACTTGGTGGTCCATCTTTATTCACATTCTGTGCATAATTAGAAAAAAGAAATTGGTTTTACTAAAAGTCTTAGTCACTGTACTTTTGATCAAAGATGTGATTCATCATTTGTCACATATGCTACGAAACTGTTTATCTTTAGGTTTTGTGCTGCTTTTTTTTCAAACCTGGACTTTGGAAAACTCTAACATGAACATATTCTATTTGTCATTTTTATAGAGAAAACACATGATTGATCAGGCCAAAGAATTAGCAATGAAAATAATTTTTAATCCCAGTTGTACTTTTTGTGGTCTTGGAACTACATAGATTGGTTCCTCAGGCTCAGATGCGCGTCTTTTAGGATCCGCTTGCTCCTGTTGAGTAAGATGCAAAGCAATAATGCATACAGTCAAGTCTAATTCTCAAATGGAGAGAGGTAATTTTGTTTACTATCTACGAAAAGTCAAGTGAAGATGTTGCACCTCGGGTTTTTCAGAGACATTCTCCAACGTCTTTGAGGACGGATCGGACATTGACCGGAATTTTAGGAATCCCTGACAAGTAAAATCACACACGCACACATTCAAACATTTGCATTGTCCTGATAAGACAAACCCCATAAAAAATATTTTATGCAATTGAGAAGCGTGGATTGGAAGAACAAAGAAAATTGCAGAAAGAAAAAAAATAATTAGGATATAATTTAGCATTTGGATGCTTTCTGGTTGAGAAAGCATGAGCCAAATTAACACAGAGCTTTTGGTGACTAACCTTTTCAGCCTCTGCGAAAGAATTCGTCTTTCTGATGAGTGGTTTTGAAATTACCTGTAAAAAGGAGATTTTTGTTGTTGTTATTTTTGTCATAGAAGGAGGCACTGTATATTTATATCAAGGTTATCTGCTTCCTTTTCTAGAGATCAAACATAGAAGTAGTATAGCTTGTTTATCTCAACACAAAGACTGGAAACAAAGGAGTTTGCAGGGAATTAACTTGTTGAACGTACAGCTTATTATCTTTCTGTAAACCCGAAATACTCTGACAGATAATAAAAACGTGACTTTTTATTTTTTATACAGATTTCGAATAAGATATACGTCGGATAGCTGCTGGTAGCTGGATTTTGCTAACTGGCAAGCTGTTTACAGTCTTAACTAAGCTGAGGTAACCAGCTACTGACTCCATGTGAAGTGAATGTATTTTTTTTTAAATGTCAAAGCTTTCCTCAGATGCTGTGCATGTGTTGAGTAGATATCGCCAAGTAGATTTTGAGTATTTACCTCAATCGTTGCCTGCTTATAAGGGAACTCCTGTAGGAGCAGGATGGTCCAAGTCAGTGACAAAAGAAGCAAACACTGCATATAATTAAATTGTATTTATTATTTTTATGGAAAAAAAAAGGTTAAATGTACCCCTGAAGAGGAGAGTTGATGAGGTCGGCTTTTCATTGCAACAAACAGGTCAGAGAACCAGCCATCCACATCGTCGCTGGAAGAATAAAGGATACCAATGAAGGTCTTTTTAGGCTCCACAAATGACAACTACTGGGTTTAATTTAAAATTCAATACCAAAACTAAACGCAGAGTGGAAATAATAACAATTTAGTAAAAAGGGGCAATTTAGTTTGAGCAAAGCCGTCACCAGATGATAAATGTTACTAAACCAGAAAGCAGCATTATGGTGTCTTTTTGATTGTTCAAACCTCCTAAAATAGTAATAGGGTGTGAAGGGCAGGGAGGAGGTGAGAACGTGTAATTGAAAGCCTGTTGTCTTGGTTTTGCCATTGCTGACTTTCAAATTAATGCAGTTTACTCTTACAGGAACATATTATGAAAGTTGAAGGACCCCCCCCCCCCTCCCCCCAAAGAAAACAATATAAACCAATCTCTTTTGAAAAAGTTACACCCATTAAAGTTGGCTGCTTTTATCCACACTTCAGATGAGTCAGACACTGTCATAACAAAATGACTGTAGTTTATTTTGAAAAGCATTTATGATTCCTTTTTTTTT